CATAAACCTTGAAACTTCAGACATCCCGAGTGGCAATCAGTAGTAATCTCAAAGCATAGCATACATGATTCGCTCATAAGCCGAAATAGCAGAAATCTGAAGGCATTCACTATCAAGAGATCTATTATAAGCTATCCAAAAACTCAACAGTGCAATACTGGATCATCATAATTACCTCATTCAGCCAGAAATGCTCATTGTACGTTTATGTTGGTAATCAAGTTGCCAGTCCAGCTATGAGCCAATTCATGCGCCACGACCTGAGCCCCACTTGCATCCCCTTTGATCACCGTCGGTGTCAAGAACACCATCCTGGGATTCTCCATTCCGCCATAAGGAAAGCTCGGAGGCAACACCAACAAATCAAACCTCTCCCACGGATACTACCCAAACAGCTTCTCCCCTTGCCTGATCATCTCCTCAGCCCCGGCGAATCCAGCACTCCAACCACATTCTCAGAGTAAACCCTCGTCCGATCCTCGGCCCGACTTCCCTAAACCCCAGTTCTCCAACCGCGAAAGCAAACAAGTACGGCGGAATCGGCTGCTCCATCACAAATTCCTCCACCACTCTCCCATCCCCACACCACAGAGACTCGAAATTGAGCCCCGCGGCGGAACCCCCTTTCTTAAACCCGTCGCTCACGACCCGGGGAGGGGAGAGAGTGAAAGCGAGCGGGGCTAGGGTTTGAGGGTCGAGGACGTCGTGGACGGCGAGGGAGCGGGCGTCAAGGGATAGCTGACCGGAGCAATAAAAAAGTTATTAATTTTATTAAATAATTCATATTTTAAATCGTAAGTGGAATGATGAGTTGGAAAAATAATTTTTTTTAATTTCCACGTCATCTAGTTAACGATCAAACTTTATAGTTGACTGTCACGTAGGACAAATTTAACGGAGTGTAACGGCCGGTGACTAACGGTGAAATGATTCGTAAAGTTAGTGGCCAATAAGAAACAAAAGTGATTTGGGTGCAAACGTGAAAGATTTGTATAATGTGAGTGACCAAACGTGTAATTTAGCCTTTATTTTTTTATGATATAGTATCGGCTAGGAATTAAAAACTCAAGACATTTTGTTGCCCGAAAAAGAGGATCTTCGAAAGGGAGTTGGTACATAAGATCATATAGGTGACTAAAAAAATCTCACTTGTTGATTCATAATCGACTTAATTAGGCTGCAAATACAACTTAGCTAAAAAAGTGAGTTTCAAATCATATGAGATTTGAGGAGAGCATAAATCTCTTATGGTGTTATAAACTTATGATATTAAGTTATCCTCATTAAATTTTATCGCTCAGAATAATGGTTGCAGGTTGCAACCTGCACATGGATCGATAATGAAGTAGTCCAAGTTAAAGTAGTCTAAGTTCTGTATCTAATAAGAAAATATTTGGACGCAATGTGGGTCTAAGACAATCTCAAGAAAAGTGCATCCTTTTTTCTTCTTTCAATATTTGCATACAAACTCTAGCACCATCATGACCCATATGAGCAACTGGTTTGACAGTTGACAAAACATATCTAGGCCAAAATACATGGAATGAGAGGAAGACTATTAGAAGCTGGGACACTCAGAAGAGAAATGTTTTCCAAGGTCAAGAAAATACATAATGATTGTAGGGTTCTTCTTCTTTAGAGAGATATATAAAATATGTGGTTGATTATTGTTTAATGCAAAGGACTAAATTATGGTCAAATTGCGCATATGGATTGATCCTTCCAACTTGATTAATTAAAAGTGTACAAAATAAAAGTGATGGGATCTCTTCCATATGGGCTGGGGGGTTATCAAATAATTGCCATGTGAGGTGCAGGAATATATCCTCACAAATCAGCCAACTTAATTTAATTGAAGTACCCGTTAATAACTCATCCTCCTGATTTAACACATGACCTATAATTATTGGTTAGCCTTAATACATAGGCCAAATCACGTGCTCCACTAACTACTTAGTGGTTCTTTGTTAAGAATTCTAACAATAGTTTAACTTCACTATAGAAAATGTCAAGGATATTGTGTATTACAGGAAATCCTATGTTCTTTTCACGTTACAAGTTTACTTTTCTAATGCTTATGAAGGTTAAATCATAATAGAATGATGAATCAACAAGGTGGTGTGCCTCCTCTCAAATGATTTATTGTTTTGACATAGCACTGATGAAAATGTACGTATGAAGTTTAATCTACATTACATGTTCATACTAACTGAATCATGACGTGCATGTGTCATACTGATATCAATTTCACTTGATTTATACGGGATTGTGTGAACTAGCAATTGAATTGTAGACTGGACAATGATTTTTATCCTAAATAGATAATGAATAATAAGAATCGTTAAAGAGATTCGATTAAGTCGACAAAGGAAGATTTGGTGGCACGTCGAGGTAGATAGTGAATGAAGTGAAGTAAAGAGAAGGAAGTGATGACTTGGACATACCACATGGGATGTCACAAGCCACGTTGTATGACACCAAAATGTATATTGCCTATCTTTATCAGTTAAGCACTCCATATTTGCAACCAAAATCACCAATCAAATCATCAAATAATGCTGTATCTGACTCTTTTCTTGGCAGCATTAAAAACTAAGGTGCTGTTCAACCAAAAGATATATTAATGCGTTGAAGTTGACCCCCAAGATTCATTTGCTGTGGCCAAATACATTTTTCAGATAAGTGGGGAAAGGAACATAACAAAATCTACAATAAATGATCATTTTGGGACAAGCTTTTCAGGTTGGGTAAGGCAACTTCACACTTGTCTGTATTCTATGATGTTGATCGAGAGACTAAGATCACATGTCTATCGACTGCTCATATAGTCACCGAGGCTTTCGCTGGATTAAAGGCGTGATTGGAAGAACATATTGAAGGTAATTTGTAGAACTTGATAATGTGGAATTGAAAGAACATGTGAAACAAGGGATTTTACGTGATAATTTCATTTTTTATTGAACGAGATTGATTCATGTTGAGCTATAAAAAGCTCACGGCTGATGATTTTATTATCAATTACATCTTGACAGCTTGCTTACGGCAAAAATCGTACCTTAGCTTTTATAGAGAAAGACTTAGGGTTAAAAGTTAAAACCCTAATGAGAAGACTCGAGTACGGCCAAGTATTTGTACCTACTACAACTCGGACAAGGCCCAATACTCACACGATTATAAGTAATCGCAACTCTCCCCCTCAAGTGAAGACATGAATGACAAGAATGTGGAGCTTGAAAAGAAAATGTGAAGAACAAGCATGACGAGCTTGTACAACAAAACACAAGATGAATGACATCCTAGACGAGGCTGATTTGGAGACGACTGACTCTCTATGAACAACCTGATGAAAACGGTTGAGTGCATCTTCTTGAACGTCGTGATAGAGACGGCTGACTGCATCTCTTGATAAACTTGAACTCACTTGGTACATCGCGGTCGACATATGTTGACTTCCTATTCTCCCCCTCAAACTGAGGCATGAACAATGTGAATGCTTAGCTTAAAAGTTAATATGGTGAACCAAGAAAACTTACGAATTCGAGGGGATGATCGTGACTACCTCGTCACTTCTAGACTTGACAAATTTCATTGACGAAAGCTGCTCTATCTCTCCAGCACTAGCTGTTGAAGAGAAGACCACTGCAGTCTATAGGTCACGTTTGTCTTCAACGCCATGACATGAATGTTGGTGAAGATTTTCTTGATGAAACTTGTTGACTCTCTCTTTGAACTAGGGATGGCAACAAAATCCGAACCCACGGGTACCCACCCGACCCAACCCGATCAACGCGGGTAAAACCCGTGTTGACGCGTTTTGGGCCGGGTTCGGGTTTAAACCCGCTACACTATTCACCGGGTTGGGTTTAGGTAAACCCGCCCCATGGGTACCCGCCCACACATATAATTACTTTCCCGATATATTTAATATTCTAAATAATATATTTTCGTTAAACAACTCATATTCTTTATGTTTGTGGAAACATGTAGAATTTGTTCTTTCTAATTGTTTACAATGAAGTTTATATTATAGAGTAGAGAGTGAAGAAATTTATTTGACGAGGAAGAAGCTTTTAATTAATCTTGTTGTTTATAGATGTTTATCTTTAATTTTAAACAATTTGTATTGATCATTTCTGGTTTGTTTGTATGTTTTAGATTGGTGTTTTTTTTTTGTATGAATAATTTGTATGAGAAAATTATGTTAAACTTTTATTTTGAAAGAAATTTGTTATTGTAAATTTTTTACTACAAAAACCCACGGGTACCCTTGAACCCACGGGTTGGGTTGGGTTTGAGTTTTTCAAACCCAGCGGGTTTTACTCCTGGATATTTTGACGGATAAACCCATGGGTTTGGATTTGGGTTTGACAAAACCCGCCCCAACCCGACCCATTGCCATCCCTACTTTGAACTGATGACAACCACTTCAAACTCATGTTTATAGCGACTGCCAACCCAAACGAATGTCAAATTATTTAATAAAGTCTCGAAATTCTCTATGGAGACAAAGTGGTATTTAATTTTCAGAAATTATTTAATAAAATTTTAAAATCCACCACAAAATCAAACTGCAATCAAAGTATCGATTTAATCTAATTCATCTTATTCAACTCAATTAGATGTTTACTATTACTTGTAACAAAGTGAGGACAATTATCTAGTATTTAGTAAATTTGACGCGTACAAAGTTAGAAATTTCAGAGCTTTACTTGTGACATTAAGCAACCGGAGTTGGAATACTTTAAATTATCTGGTCTAGAAGAATCACCACCTCGCAGGAAGAGGGAACCCCCATTAATAACTGATGAGGTGCTTCAGCAGCTGCTCTGGATAAGGTTGCCGACTTGCATTGCATGGCCCGGTCGGCCTCCATCTTATAGTCAAAAGAAAAAGTTCGGTATAAAGGATAGTTTTTTATGATTTAAATGCACCATCGCGGTTTCACTTTGTGGTCTAATTACCATATATATAGTTAATCATATCTTAAGTGAGAGTACGTTGCTAACTGGGACAAGTAAGAATGATTAGTCTTATAGAAGAATTCCAAGCGACTGGCTGACTAATGGATTCTCGGTTGTCCAAAAATTAGAAAGGTCTTTTTTATTTAATTTGGTGATAGTTTGGTTGATATAGTTAATTAGTTGCTCGGGATATATGGTCGCATTTCTTGGCAGATAAGCCTGATCGAGATTTTTTCCAGGAGGACATTCCACGTTGGGGTCTTCACTACCTGACAGATCGCAGCCCCATCGTGGACCTTCTGTTGTGTGAAGCTCGTCAATGTCGTGAAAATGTTGGCAAAGACAGTATGTGCCTAGAAAGGAAAGTATCCAGCTGTGAGTGGGTAATGCTAGAGGAGGAAAGCCTACTACAAATTGAACAGAAAAATCAGCTTGATTGAGAGATGATCAAGGAGCAACGGTCGACAAGTAGATAGATATAAATAGACAGCTCCACAAGTAGAGACGCACTTTTTTTAAACACTCTGTCGAGGCAATCACGAAAGAACAGTTCATAGTTGCGAGATAGGGAGAAGAGAGAAGTCAGTAGCAGTTGGGGAAATTGCTAGAAGAATAGCGGATATTCTTGATTAGGTTTGCCGGGAGTAAACCAGATTTCGAGTCTGATCGGTGATGGGGAGTTTCCTGGAGATTGTATGTAATTGTGATTTGATTACAAACATCTAGTGGAACGTCGAAGGACTCGATTGAGGACCTTCGATCGTGGATTAGTCGGTACTAAATCAAATAGTACCGGATACCACGTAAAAATTTGTGTTCTTACTTTGTCTCTAAGTTTCTTCACTTGATCGTTGCCGCGGTGTTGGAAGCTCTGTTTTGCAGGTTTCCTCGACGAACAGGGGACTTGCCTGAAGCACGAGTCAGGGCTCTAAGTTCTGGATCAGAAGAAACTAGGAACACACACGAATCAGTTTCTGTGGGCTTGTCCGACTAACAAAGCCCATTCCGAGTCATTCTAACTTGGCCCATCTATTACGATAAATTTGTTTGTTTTATTTTATTATTGTGTTTGTTATTATTGACCCTGTCAATTATCTTTCATTCCCAATCCGTGTTTCAGAGAACGAAAAATTAGGGTTTGAGATCGGGATAAAGGAGAAAGTCTCGCGCTCGACCACCCAACAAGTGGTATCAGAGCCTGGTCGCCGGCAATCAAGCCTTAACAACCTCCGACGAGAATGAGTTCGAGTGCAGGCAACGGCAACGGTATCTACATGGCGGATGGTTTCTCGCAGACACGTCCTCCCAGATTCGAAGGTGTCAACTACGGGTATTGGCAGAATCAGATGGAGCTCTTCATCGGCTCAACAGATCCAGACTTGTGGAATATCGTGCTCGACGGACCGCTGGAAGTCAAGAAGACTCGGGGAAAATGGTCGGAATAGGATAAGAAGAACTTTCAACTCAATTCCAAGGCGACCAATCTGATGTACTGTGCCTTGGGACCCTATGAGTACCATCGAGTGACTGGTTGCAAGACAGCCAAGGAGATCTAGGACAAGTTGCAGATAGCACATGAAGGTACTTCACACGTCAAAATTTCCAGAATAAATAGTCTCAAGCAGGATTTCGAATTGTTTGTCATGAAGCCAGACGAATCAATTAAGGAAATGAACGATAGGTTCATGAACATAGTTAACAGTCTCAGAAATCTGGAAGTAGACTATCCCGGTGCTAATTTGGTGAGAAAAAATTTCTGGGCAATACCTAAAAGATGGACTCCGAAGGTCACTGCCATTGAAGAATCGAAGGACTTGACCAAGCTAAGTCTCGATGAGCTGATGGGATCGCTGGTAACCCACGAGGAGAAGCTCAGAAGAGAAGAGGAGAAGATTCAAGAAAGGAAAGGAAAGGAACTGCTTTCAAAGCAATTTCACATGATGATGAACTCGATGCATTCGATAAGCTGGAAGACGAAGAGCTAGCACTGCTTAGCAAACATGTGGCAAAGCTACTCAGGCTGAGAAAGGAAAGAAGGAGAGGGGCACTGGTCAACAAATCTAAAGATGGAGATGCTGAGAACGATCAAGCAAAGGTGTCAAAAATAAGCGGAAGAAAAAACAATGGTGAAAGAACACTGACTTAGGGAGGGTGCTTCAAATGTGGCCGAGCTGGGCACATAAAGGCGGAATGTCCACAGTTGAAGAAAGAAAAAGCATATGCAGCTACCTGGAGCTGCAGTGAAGAAGATGATGAGTCAGACACAAATTATAAGCAAGAGGCATACATGGCAATTGATAACAGTGAGGATGAACGCGGCGTGGCTAAGGTAACATCCTCTAACTATTATTCTGACTATTATGGCGAAAATAATCAGATGATAGAAACAATTAGAGAAATTCAACTGGAATTTGGAAATGTCAAAAGTAGATATGGTAAGTTGAAAAGAGACCATCTAGAGCTACAAAAAAAAATATCAAAAGTTGCTAGATGACAAGTTAGTTACTGATCTAAAGCTAGAGGAAAGTAAAAAACTGTGTGAAATACTAGAAATCAAGGTAGCTGAAACAGAAGGTAGAAAACAGTGTCAGCATGATGATACCTCATGTCAAAATGTTAGAGTGAGCAAAATCGAAGTCAGAAACACAGTTGAATGCTTCTACTGTCATCAAAAGGGGCATTACATAGCTAATTGCAAGAGAAGAATTGCAAAAGAAGAAAGAATGAAAACTCAGACATGTTTTACATGTCACAAAGAAGGTCGTATAAAAAGGAATTGCCCTCAATTAAGATTAAAACTAGGATTGTCCAAACTTGTTTGGATACCCAAACTGAATTAGCTGTCTCTTTAATCAAGTCTGTCTCCAAGTGGGCATGGAAGACAGTGAATGGATTCTTGATAGCGGTTGCTCACACCACATGACTGGAAACGAAAATCTCTTCACAAATCTTCACAAAATTAAAAAGGGTAAAGTTTACTTTGGTGATAACTATAGTACTGATATTTTAGGTAGAGGTCAAGTAGGATCGAACCCCTCCATCAAAAATTTCATGTTTGTTAAAGGTCTAAAGCACAATCTGTTTTCTATCGGTCAAATGTGTGGAAACACTAATAGAGTGGTTTTTGAACCTGATCGTTGTTATGTTGAAAATATCCTAACTAGTCAAGTGCTTTTCACTGGAAGAAGGAAAGAAAAACTGTTTTGTATAGACTTAAATGATAAAAGTCAGTTTAATGAAACCTGTCTTGTGTCAATAGATAAGAACGATCAGTTGGAGTGGCATAGAAGGTTAGGCCACGTAGGAGTTGGAACTCTCTCGAAGTTAGTAAGCCTGGATTTAGTAACAGGAATTCCCAAAATTCACTGCAAGAAAGAATTCTTTTGTGAAGCATGTGCTAAGGGAAAACAAGTCAGAAGTACGTTCAAAAGTAAACAAATCATTTCAACAACTAAAGTTTTGGAATTGCTTCATTTGGATTTGTTCGGACCAAGCAATGTAAAAAGTCTTGGTGGGAAATTTTATGCATTCGTAATAGTAGATGATTACTCAAGATTCACTTGGGTACTTTTTCTGACTAATAAGAGTGATGCATTTCAGAGTCTTAAAGTGCCAATAAAACGACTTGAAAATGAAAACTTTTGTAATGACTCGCGCATCTCTCACAATTTTTCAGCTCCTAAGACTCCTCAGCAAAACGGAGTACTGGAAAGAAAGAATAGGACTCTGATAGATATTGCCAGAACCATGTTAAACGACTATGGTGTTCCTAAGAAATTATGGGCAGAAGCCATTAACACTGCTTGTTATGTTGTAAACAGAGCATTAATTAGATCCAAATTAAACAAGACCCCTTATGAACTTTGCAAAGGAAGAAAACCCAACTTGAGCTGCTTTCATCCATTTGTGTGCAAGTGTTTCACCTTAAATACAAAAGATAAGCTAGGGAAGTTCGACTCTAAGTCAGATGAATCGATATTTTTAGGATACTCAAACCAGAGTAGAGCTTATAGGATTTTTAATCAACGGACCCTCAAAGTCGAGGAGTCCATTAATGTGGTATTTGATGAGTCTGTGAGTGTAAGTACAGCTACCATAGATGATGAAGATGATCTGGGACTTGGCAGCTCGATTTCCATAGTTCAGGACAGGGCAAGAATGGAATCTGGAGAAAACAATGAGTCAACTGCTGATACAGGTGACAAGACTAAGGAGCTGCAAGCACCACCCCACATTCAAAAGCGGCATCCAGTGTCTCAAGTAATTGGAAACTTGAACCAAGGTATGACCACTAGATCTCAATCTGCATCTGCTCATACTGCCTTTGTGTCTCTAGTCGTACCTAAGAACATTGAGGAAGCCTTGCTTGATGAGTTTTGGAATGCTTCTATGCAAGATGAATTAGGGAAGTTTGAAAGAATTAAGGTGTGGGACTTGGTCCCTAAACCTGTGGACAGAGTCCCTTTAGGAACTAAATGGGTTTATAAAAATAAATCAGATGAAATAGGCAATATAACTCGAAATAAATTCAGACTAGTGGTTCAAGGTTACTGTCAAGAAGAAGGTATAGATTTTGATGAAACGTTTGCGCCTGTAGCTAGATTAGAAGCTGTAAGACTTCTTTGTGCGTATGTAGCTTCTAAAGGATTTAAATTATTTCAAATGGACGTAAAAAGCGCCTTTTTAAATGGGGATTTAAAGGAAGAAGTATATGTCACTCAGCCCCCTGGTTTTGAAAATCATCAGTTTCCAGACCATGTATATAAATTGAACAAAGCTTTGTATGGTCTTAAACAAGCACCTAGGGCATGGTACGATAAACTTAGTTCCTTCCTAGTTAATGATGGGTTTCATAGAGGTTATGTAGACAAGATGTTGTTTATTAAAACCGAAGGAGAACACACTATTTTGGTACAGGTCTATGTTGACGACATCATTTTTGGGTCAACTAGTATTGAAATGTGTAAAGCCTTTGAAAATACAATGAAGAACACTTTTGAAATGAGCATGATGGGCAAACTGAGTTATTTCTTAGGATTACAAGTAAAAAAAACTTCGAAAGGGATTTTTATTAGTCAAACCAAATATTTGAATAATATGCTAAAGAGGTTTGAACTAGGTAATTTAAAAACTGCCCTTACCCCCATGGGGTCTTCTGTAAAATTGACTAAGGATGAGTCTGGTGTCAAGATCAGTGATCGAATGTTTCGTGGAATGATAGGATCCTTGCTCTACCTAACGGCTAGCCGTCCGGATATCTTATACAATGTTTGTGTGTGTGCTCGATTCCAGAGTTCTCCTAGAGCCAGCCATCTATCAGCTGTAAAAAGAATCTTTAGATATCTTTCGGGAACTCAGTCCTTAGGATTGTGGTACTCCAAGGATTCTAGTCTAGATTTAGAAGGGTATAGCGATGCAGACTTTGCTGGATGCATTGATGATCGTAAGAGCACGTCTGGTACGTGCCACTTCCTTGGAACTTCCTTGGTTTCGTGGGCTAGTAAGAAACAAAACTTAGTAGCACTATCGACTGCTGAGGCAGAATATGTGGCTGCTGGTTTGTGTTGTTCCCAAGCTTTGTGGCTTAAATCTCAACTCATAGATTATGGTCTTCGTCCTAACTCGATTCCAGTACTGTGTGATAACACAAGTACTATTAACATGTCGAAAAACCCTATTCAGCACTCACGCACCAAACATATCGAGATTAGGTATCATTTTACTAGAGATCTAGTTCAGGAAGGGAAGGTCCAGCTGGAATTTATAGGGACTGATATGCAGTGGGCTGACATATTTACTAAACCACTTAGCAGTGATAAATTCCTTCCAATCACGAGAGAATTAGGGTTTTTTAATCATGACGACATCTTCACCTTCTAGATTAACCTGCAGTTATGACAACCTTCCTTTCCTTCTAGAGGTTTTCTTCAATCAATTAGGGTTTCTGATCTCACTCCTTACATATTGCTCTCTGTCCAACAGTTTAAAAGGCAGACGGTTGATATCCTTTCTTCATCCTTCATCAAACCCACTTCTATTCAGTTCCTTAAGCTTCCTCCAAACACCCAATCATGGTGATCACCAATCCACAACTGCACCCTGTAGTTGAGTTCAACAATCAGGGGTTCCGAACTGGTCGCGAGTATGCCAGATACTTGTGGAGCTTTCGTGATCGTCCCATTCACCCATCCTTTACCATTCAGCCTTCTGCGTTCAACAAATATCGGATGGATCTTCCTTCCTTGTTGAATGGTCTTGGCTGGAGTTCTTTGGTAGAAGACCAACGATTCAGCTTCTGTCTTGAAGCAGTCAGGATGTTCTATGTGAGCATCAAGAGGGAGCCTGGTCCTGAACCATCATTCTTCACTACCATGGTTTACAATCACAAAATCAGGGTGACGCCTGACCTTCTTGCATCTGTTCTCTAGCTCCCTCACTCCGGGCTTCAAGCAAGCTTTGATGGGGAGTTTCATGATCTGGGGTTTGACCTTTTAGGTTCTGTGACTCAACTTACTCAAGATATCGGTCGGTATTTTCCTCATCATCTGGCTGTCGGTCGGCTCCCCGATGATTTAAAGGTGTTTCATTGGTTTATCACCAGATGCTGGCTCCCACGTGACTTGAGTAGCTCCGTTGTGCTCCACCCCAAGGATCTCTGGATCCTGTCGAACGCACGAGCCCGGTAACCCATCAGTTTTGCATCTCTAGTCTTCAGACACATGCTGCGTTTTGGAGATGGCAACTATAGTGGGAACCTGCCCTTTGGTCCTTCCATCACGCGTCTTTTATATAGGTTGCACTTCGACATGCGTGACAAGGTAACCCTATGCAATGTGCTCGAGGATTTGCGCTCGAATCACATTCTCATTCGTCTGGATGCTGACATTGGTCGTCGTAAGCTCGTTACTGGCTCAGGGGGAGGATCTGGTAGTTTTCCTGCCAGTTCAGAGGAAACCACCCTTGATCAGGTCCCAGCGCTGGTTCCGGTGTTAATCAGTGCTGCCGTTTCGGCCATTGATGCTGAAGTTTTGAGAATCAAAACTATTGGGACAAATCAAGATGATTTGAGCAGAGCCTCGATTAGGTTGATGGTATGCAAAGAACGGATGGAACTTATGCAAACACCCCAAGGAGATCTGGAGGATGAGGCTGTGCTTGCTCCAGAAAACTTTGACCCTATGTCCTCGGAATTCGGGACTGATGATGACATTTCAGACTATGAGTCTCCACCGAAATACCCCTTCTAGGTCTAGGAGAGATGTCTTTAGCTTAGGGAGAGCAAACTTGGTCAATTAAGTTTGTAGTGTCGGTTAGTTTTGTCGTCGTTGGTTGAGTATGCAGTGTTAGTCTGTTGGTTCTATAGTTACTTGGTCAACTGAGTCATGTGTGGTAATTTCTTCGAATGCAATGAAACTAAAAGTCTCCCTTTGAGTTTTTTTTTTTGTGAGAACATACTGCACCAACTGTTTGCCAAGTGTATGCAGGAAAAGTCAGTACAGCAGCAGGAGCCATTGACTAGCTTAGGGGGAGTATGTTGTGTGAAGCTCGTCAATGTCGTGAACACGTTGGCAAAGACAGTATGTGCCTAGAAAGGAAAGTATCCAGCTGTGAGTGGGTAATGCTAGAGGAGGAAAGCCTACTACAAATTGAACAGAAAAATCAGCTTGATTGAGAGATGATCAAGGAGCAACGGTCGACAAGTAGATAGATATAAATAGACAGATCCACAAGTAGAGACGCAATTTTTTTAAACACTTTATCGAGGCAATCACGAAAGAACAGCTCATAGTTGCGAGATAGGGAGAAGAGAGAAGTCAGTAGCAGTTGGGGAAATTGCTAGTAGAATAGCAGGTATTCTTGATTAGGTTTGCGGGGGAGTAAACCAGATTTCGAATCTGATCGGTGACGGGGAGTTGCCAGGAGATTGTATGTAATTGTGATTTGATTACAAACATCTAGTGGAACGTCGAAGGACTCGATTGAGGACCTTCGATCGTGGATTAGTCGGTAATAAATCAAATAGTACCGGATACCACGTAAAAATCTGTGTTCTTACTTTGTCTCTAAGTTTCTTCACTTGATCGTTGTTGCGGTGTTGGAAGCTCTGTTTTGCAGGTTTCGTCGACGAACAGGAGACTTGCCTGGAGCACGAGTCAGGGCTCTAAGTTCTGGATCAGAAGAAACTAGGAACACACACGAATCAGTTTCTGTGGGCTTGTCCGGCTAACAAAGCCCATTCCGAGTCATTCTAACTTGGCCCATCTATTACGATAAATCTGTTTGTTTTATTTTATTATTGTGTTTGTTATTATTGACCCTGTCAATTATCTTTCATTCCCAATCCATGTTTCAGAGAACGAAAATTAGGGTTTGAGATCGGGATAAAGGAGAAAGTCTCGCGCTCGACCACACAACAGCTTCCACCTTCCCCCTGGTTTGCTGGCAACTATGGCAAAATCGCAATGCTTGGGTTTTTTAGAAGCAATTGGCGGCACCTATGAAGCTGGCTGGCCATATAAAGTTGATGCGAAGCCAGGTTTCCTCGACTTTTAAGGCGTCGCAGAGCTTCACAGGAGGAGAAAGCCAGAGGTGTACAAGGAACATCAGCTGGCAACGTCCGCTAATTGGTTGGGCCTGAATACGGATGGATCAGTGCTTCTATCTCAGAACAGTGTTGTTGCAGGAGGAGTGATCAGAAGAGAAGATGGATGGATATTGTGGGCCTTCTCGACGAACTTGGGCGGCGGTTCAATCACACACGCAGAACTTGCAGGCATCGAGCAGGGACTTTGTATTGCCTGGGAATGGGGATTCGGAAACCCGCGGTTCAGACTAACTCGGTGATGGCTGTCTTGCTGGTACAGGAGGACCCTTCGAGCCACCCGCATCATATGCTTGTGAGGTCCATTCGACGGTTCCTGTCCCTAGAATGGGAGGTCACTATTGATCATGTTTTTCGGGAGGGCAATTTCGTAGCCGATTTTCTGGCTTCTCGGGGTCACTCACTTCCTGTTGGTTTACACGTGATTGACACTCCTGACCCGTGCCTGGGTCACTGGTTGTACTACGACACTATTGGGGTTCAAACCCCCTGTTTGGTTATTAATTAAGGGTTGGGGCGCCCCTTAGCGCTCCGTTTGCTACCAAAAAAAATATATAGACGTTACAAGTATTGTTTGTATGATGTGACAAAAACTATAACTCAAAAATTTTAAGAGAGTTGATACATATCTTACGAGTTGGAGTTTGATAATTGATAGGATTGTTAAATTGTGTATCTCGCCCTATATGAAGCTTAACAAGTTGAGTATATGAGCAAATATGAGTAATTTTTTATTTTGAAAATAAAATATATATATATAAGAGTGATTTGATAGTATAAATCACATGATTTGGACTAGTCAAAATTTATTAATTAAATAATAGGCTAAATTGCAAGTTTGGTTACTCGAATTGATACAAAATTTTATGTTTGGTCACTCGAATTGGTTTATTCCATTCGTAGTCACTTAAATTAGTTGAACAGTCCAAGTTCTGTCACTCTCCGTTAACTTCGTCAGACTGCGTTAGTGCCGTCAGTTAACTGCTGACGTGGCTAACGAGATGCCTAGTCACCCAATTTAAACAAAAAAAAAATCCATCTGTGACCCATCCACCTTTCTTCTTCTTCCTCTATTCGTTCCGTCTCTTCCTCGTCTTCCACGGGCGGCCACCACTGCAATTCTCAATCTAAGACAGAATACCCGCTACCCTCATTCATCTTCCCCGTAGCTCTTTCTCTCTTTCTTTCTCCCAAACAAATTGACATTGAAAGTCTTAAGTACAAGACAACCAGAGCAAGCAAAGCTTCTTTCTCCTTCCAATCTCAGCTCCGCCAAAGGCACTAGGATCGAACCTCCATCTTATTCTGGTAAGACAAGGAATCAATTTCTTCCTACGTCGTCGTCGCCAGTTTCCATCTACTCCAAACTAACCCGTCGGAGGCAGTAGAGAAGTAGGTTGGGGTCGTTTCTAGTTTGAGGATCTTGCCCAGACACAATTTCAATCCCTAACCTGGACAGGAAATCGAAGAATCGAAGCTTCTCGACAATCTGTTAGAGGATATGTCGGCGGAAAGAGGTGGGTGGCGTCAAGCCTCCACCTACAGATATGCTTTCTCTTCTTCCACGAACCCATTATGCAGAGGAAAGCCTTTCTTTGAACCACAAGACACTCCCTGAATGCTTTCGTCGACCGTCCCCGCCTGCGGCTCGACTTTGAGCGGAACGCCTCCTGGACGCACAAACCCCCAGTCCGGCGAAATCCCATCCAATCTCCAGAACTTGAAGCTCAACAATCTCGATTTTTCGGGTATAGCTATGTTCATCCTTCCCTTAGTCGTCTTCCTTGTTGGAGTCGTGTGGTTCTACTTCAAGTATAGTAAAATCAAGTCCCCTGGCGACGGCTGCGACCGTTCAATCGACAAATTGAAATGGACGTTGATGTCGACATGTCGTCCACGATCTCGGATTCAGCGAGACGAGATCCTCGGACGAGATTTAACTTGTTTAGCTTCTTCCATGAATCAATCTCAGGTCGAAGTTCGCTTGAGAGAAGATTAGGGAGGGAGATGGAGGAAACATAGCCATGGCGGGAGAGAGAGAGAGAGAGAGAGAGAGAGAGAGAGAGAGGCAGATTTTTCTAGGTGGGTTAATGGTTTTTTAGGTAGGGTGGGTTGGGTTTGGTTGTGTTTATATGAGGTGGCATGTTTTTCTGACGTGGCGCGAGTTAATTTCTGTTTATTGAGTGACTAGGCATCTTTGTTAGCCACGTCAGCAGTTAACTGACGACACTAACAGAGTCTAACGGAGGTTAACGGAGAGTAACCAAATTTGGACTGTTCAACTAATTTAAGTGACTACGAATGGAATAAACCAATTCAAGTGACCAAACGTGAAATTTTGTAGCAATTAGAGTGACCAAACTTGCAATTTAGCCTTAAATAATATGATACCAACAAAGTACAACATGAGATTAGTTAATGTTGAAAGTTGACTTTTTTCATCATGACATCAATCACATGTATCATATATTACATACAAAAATGAATGTATCAAATACGAGCCAAGATTTTAGTAAACAAGTCTAGCTCAAACTCGACTCGACTTGTTAATAAACCGATCAAGCTCGAGCTCAGCTTGTTTATTAATGAGTTGAGTTCAAGCTAAAGTAAAGCTCGGCTCGACTTGGATCAATTTCAGCCCTACTCCAAATGAGTGATAGTTAAATCTAATGTTTCATGTGAGATTGTTAATATAGTTGATTGAGATTGTTGAGTTTTTTTTATTGTAACTTTATCCCTAACTTTTTATATTTGTTGCTATTTTAAATTAAAAACAAAGGATTAAATTGATATTTCTCCCAAAAAGTAATTTAGCATATTTCAATGTTGCTAATCTGCAATGGCTAACACAAAAAACAAACAATGTAAACTACAATACACCAATGATGATGTGACAGGTTGTGCATGGTTATGCACCCTTAAGTTATGTAAGGAATATGCTCTACATGTTATATTAACGTCTTTGCGTGAACGATCAACTTTATCAATTACAAAAAAAAATTATTTGATACGATTTTACATTATGTTTAGGTCGGCATATGCTGGATCCATTTGAAGAGGTTTGTGTCGGCCAGTTGCCCCAAAAGTTGTACAAATTTGAGTTTTAAATTAAATGGTAACAACTCGAACAATTATTAACATGATTTTGCAATCCTACTGGAATTGAAACGGTCTAGATTGTAATGGGTCGGGTTTGAATTTGATCATATATATACTCATGTGAAATCGAGTTTCAATAGGGGAAAACTAATGATTTCATAAGATTTTATTTACATGGTTTTGCGGTTTGTTGTTGAACTAAACTATTGAGTGAACTTTTGAAAATGATGGAGAAAGAAGCACTTTGGTTAGTATTTCTGATGATCAAAGAGACAAATGATATTAGTTGAACCAATATACCTAGGAAATCAAAATGCATGTGTCGATTAGAACTTATGGTTTTGTTATCTAAACACTAACCCTTAAATTTGATCCAACCATAAACTCAAAGAGCATGCAAACTGATCATCTGACCAGTCCTTGTTTCAAAACCCCCCCAAAAAAAAAAAAAAAACATGTGACAACTTTCCTGACTTGTTTGGGAGTTCAACTTCCACTTGCCCTTTTCTTCTTCAAACTGTGGGCCAAATCTTTTGCTTGTTGCTATATATAACCTGCCTTTCGTCAATCTCCTTTTTCTTATTTTCTTTAGGTTCGCCAACCAACCCCAACCCAGTACACAGCGCCCAATTATACGTGGTTCGAAGATGGTAACTGATTGGCCAAGTGAAAGATGGCACAAGAAGAAAGACAAGAAGAGACCGAGGAAAAATGTCTGAAAGTCTACATAAATGGATAAAACCACACAAATCGAAACCGACAACGTAGGCTGCTGTCCATGCAGCTGGTTCTTTTGTTGCTTTCATTTGGGCATGTCTAGGGTTTCAGTTCGTTACCACAAAACACGGGTTAAGGAGAAGACATGGGATGAGCTGAGGTTGAGTGTTGTCTCCCAAAACACGAGCATATATGCATTTTCCATATAATTTGGCCAAACGCCACTCAGGTAAAAAAAAAAAAGGGAGAATAAGGCTGAAAACAGGTAGCTCTACAAACAAACAATGGAAAGCCGAAAGCCTCCCTTGCCTTCTTCCCTTACCTACCAGTTTTCTCATTTTCCACACGGAACTTCTGCGCGCATGCAACAGCGGTGGAGAGTAGTGAAGTGATCGAGTGGGATTCGACGACGCTGACTGTTACCCAAATGGTTCATTACTTCTTGGCTTCTACTTATATGCAGCCGGGCGAAAGTATTGAATTGAATTGATGGAGTGAATACGAAATTGCACCTCTACGTATTTCTACATATCGGTGTATTGGTATCATGGGATGATTAAATGAAATGACAGACATGCTTGTTAAGTAAAATTGCAATGAATGTGAATACATGAAGAAGTAGCTAACAAGGAGTTTTGGACTTTTGGGTGATCAGTTTTTACTTTCTACTAAAGTTGATGGAGAGAAGTGGGTATAGGGTCGTGGGAAAGAGTTGACATTTTACAAATCCAGTTGGAGTAACAAAGGAATGGGGGCTCTTCCCCAGGAAAAATATATTGAGAAACAAAAGGTAAAAAGTAAGAAGATGCGTCAGCAGTAAGACTGAGTGCAGGGTAAAAAAGAAAAGTTGGACGCCCACGTGAGGCCTTGGCCTGTGCCTGAGGTGATTATTGACTTGTGTGTATATTGCTCACTGTCAAAAGCTGTTTTCGGGAAGGTCCCACAACTGCAGAATGCAATACATAACTACTCTCTCTCTCTATTTCTAATTCTTCTTTTAATTAATAATCTAAATGGCATTTATTTGGTCGAGGATTGTGTGATTAGTATGGGTCATGGGATTAGCATGCACTTGCCGGGAAAGGTTATAGTTCTTGACACTCTGTTTGGCAACAAGGGGGGTGCAAATTCAAGGAGGGTACAAATTGAGGGGTAAATGATAGGGGGGAGTGAGTTTAAGGGGGGTGCAAATTGGGGTGCAAATTGGTGTTTGGATAAAAAAGTAGGAGGGTGCAAATTTATATATAAAATATAAATTTAATAAAATAATAATAATAAATATAAAATATAAAATAACCCAAACCCACCATTCACTCTCTTCCTTTGCCTCACCACCTCTTCTCTCTCTCCCCCACCAACGTTCCTTCCCTTCCCCTGACCCCACCACCAGCTTTCTTTTCTTCCTCCACCATTTACGCTCCAAATTGGGGTGCAAGTCTAAATAGTAACTTTGCCCACCTTTTGCACCCGCCTGCCACTGTATCAAATTATCCAAACAAGGGTTTTTGTCTCGATTCTGCCACTTACCCCCAGCTTCTACCCCCCCCCCCCCCCTCCCACTTCCCCCTCTACCCAAACAGAGTGTGAGGGATAGAGGGAGGTAGTACTGCGAAGTGGTGAACGAATAGTGGATGACAAGGTAATTAAATTGGGATTTAAAACTTAACAGTTTAAGTTTTTACATTTTATGTTATCAAAACGCTTTTACGTAGAATAGCTCTTTTCACTTATAAGTGTAATCAAAATCTAAGTTTAAAAACTTACGTTTTTACTATGTTAAGTTACCAAAATGTTTCTACGTACAATAGCGATATTAACTGCATTGGTGAATGGAATGAGAAGATCGACCCTCCGAAAATTCCACCGCTCCAAACTTCTCAATCTACTATCTGAAGAAGAAGAAGAAGAAGAAGGGTACCGAGGAAGCAGTGGTCGGCCCAGGATTATTGAGTAAGTGTGCGGGTTGATAAAAATTAATTAAAAATTCAACACATAAAAAAATTATTCATTATTTTCACAATTTCATTGCTTTTAAAATGAACTAGGATGAATTTATTTTTATATTCTTAAAAGTATTTTAATTAAATATGTCGTTTATATTGCATATAAAACCTTTTTATGTATGCAACTAAATAATTATTCATAAATATGTCACCCAACTGATTTCAAAAATCGTTCATGATTAAGTTTATATATGAGAAAAGTCATTTCGCAACTTGCAATTGCAAGAGGTAAAGTAAACACTAACTTAAGATGATAAAGTTGGAATGAGAAGCTGGAAGAGTGGCGACAGTTATCAACGCGGAAGTTTTGAACAGGATGGGGATGTCACCGGCCAGTGGCGCAATAAAATGTGTAAGCAAATTACCGATCGAGTGATAAAAATAAGTATATTATCGCCCCACAGGATCAATACAACTCTAGCTTTAATGATTAATATTAAGGAACTCAAACTAATAAAGGTATTTTTTATAAATTAAATGAAAAGCAATAACTAAGCTAGAAATTAAAGTAAGTTGTAAATTAACTTCAAGAAAAATCTATGAAAAGAAGCTTTGTGGAAAGAAGACATGAAATTCACTCTCTAATTAATTGACTCAACATGTTTATTAATCAATTTAATTCTCATTCAATTAAATGCCCAAGATCATCTCTAAGGTGATAGTTATCTGTGAATAGTGAATACTTACTATGCACTAAGTATCTAATCAATTGTTTATTCACGTACAACCAACTAATTAACTAGCTAGTCTGAAGTCCGATAACTCCTAATATTTACATATTTGAATAACTTTATAACTACAGAATTCTTGTAATATAATGAAGGTGTGTCAGTTACAATTTTTGGAGGTCTGTTAAAAGTCTTGTATTCGAATTTTTTACGAAGACAAATAGTGGGTAATCTCACAACAATTTTGATGAAGGTGTGTCGAGTGATACATCTCTCGAAGAGGTGGGTCCGCCCCTACGAGGAGGCGATGTGTGTGGTACTGTGGGAATTTTTCATTATCTTAATTAAATTATTATAGTTTTTATTAATTTCTTCATACCATGTGACATCCATGTCAGCAATATAGGCCTAATCACTAACGGTTAACTGCATTGGCCGTCTAATTTGACGATTTGGGTCAAATGAGTCATTATGAGTATTAGTCTAGGTCAAAATAGAGATTTAAGAAAACA